AAATACAAGATCTGTACGAGGATGGAATTCTAATGTCCTTTGAACAATTAGCAAATAAATATGATCTACCTAGGAGACATTTTTTAATTTTTTTCAAATTAGAAGTTTCGTTACTAATATACTGGGATCGACTGTACAACCCACGTTATCTACTTTAGAGAATATAGCAGCTAACTATGACCAAAGTAGGGGCCTCCTCTCCAAATTTTACAGTACCCTAATCTGGTATGAACGAAAATAGCAACTCATATTTACAGGCCTGTATATCTGATCTGGAAACAGACATTTCAGCAGAAGAGTGGAACGACTGTTGTGAACGTGCGCAAAAACAAACAATTAACACAAGATTTAGATTATTACAGTACAAGTGGCTGTTTAGAACCTATATCACACCAGTGAAGCTTCATTATTTCAACCCTAATATCCCTGACGATTGTAATAAATGTGGAAAAGAAAAAGGGACACTTTACCATTGTATGTGGCAATGTGAAGAACTTCAAATTTTTTGGAAACAAATCTGTACAATTATTTCAGATTTAATTAAATGTAAGATGCCCCTTGACTGTAAACTTTGCATACTGCACATCTATCCAGACAGCTTTGTGTGTAACAAAAAGAATAAGAAATTGGTTGAATTCTCCTTGTTACAAGCTAAATATGTTATTGCCTTGAAATGGAAGGCCACAGAAAGGCCAGGAGTGAAACAATGGATCAATTCTATGTCCAGTAATCTGGCGCTTGAGAAACTAACGTATATGGCCAGAGGAAAACTCGAGGACTTCAAGGACATCTGGCTGCCCTTTTTGCATCTTCTTGACACCTTTGACTTTGAAGAAGTGGAGTTAAGTTGGGGGTGGGAGGGAGGGGATTTTTGGGGTGGGGGGGGGTGGTTGTTGTATTTTGTTCTGTTTTAAACTGAAAATCATAATAAACATATTTGGGGGGAAAAAAAAGTATGTATGTGTAATAGAAATAAAAATATATTAGAATTAGTGTAACTCACTGTGATCCAAACAATAAATCAGCCATAGCTGATTAGTAAATATGACATGAGATCTGGGAGTTTTTAAGTTTCATTCTTTTATTACATTTTTTTCTTAGATCTGTTTAAAGGTCACCATGGCAGCCTGTGTCTCCAACATCAGCTACACAACGCAGCAAGTGTAAGTTCCAAATACCTGTCTTGACCACTTCATGTATGGTTTTGTACTTTAAACAATTATGACAAACCTGTTATTTTTTCTCCATAGCCATTTGGATCATTGGAGACAGTTACGTGAGGCGTGGTGCCCAGAGAGCTGCAGAGACCCTCAGAGACAACCTTTTAATATTTTACGTTTTTTTTTAATGTGTCGACACTTTGTGCCCTGTTGTTTTATAAAATGTAGTGTAAAAAATAAATGTTTTTGCTCAATTACTGGAATTTCTTTGGTTAAGACTACAAAGTGAGGAATAATCATTTACAAGTTATTTGTACAACAGGCCCATTTTAAATCCCAACAGTTTCTTAGCAGCCAATAGAAATGCGTTCTTTACTAACTTTACTTGGTTTAAAAATCTTACTAAAATAAACAGAGTGCCGTATTGCAAAACCCAATCATACTTGTTATGTAAACATTAGCTTTGTAGATATTTGTGTGCAACAAAAACCAAACTTAAATAATTAGTCATTCTTTATTGAAAAACAACAAAATACAGGTATACAGAAAGTGTGGGATAAACAAGTAAATAGGAGGAAAAATTAATACAACTAGGAAACCAACATAAAAACAGCAACCAGCAGCTGCACCTGTGAAGAAACATTTCTAAGAGTCATCAAGAAAACAGCACTCAGAAAGTTTGGGTCAACAACTGTCTCTCCGGTCTCCGTTCCACCTCCACCGGCTCCCCCCAGGGCTGTGTGCTCTCCCCCCCGCTCTACATCCTCTCCACCGACGACTGCAGATCCACACATCCCAACTGTCACCTGGTGAAATACGCTGATGATACAGTCCTCCTATCACTGCTGTCAGGCTCCTCACAACACCACAGACCTGCTCTTCAGGAGTTTGTAGAGTGGTGTGACAGCTCCAAACTGGTGGTGACCTTCTGCAGGAGGCCGAGGGATCCGGCTGCTTCAGTCACCACCATTATCCATGGGAACCCAGAGGAGGTAGTGGAGGAGTACAAGTATCTGGGAACCACCTTTGACCAATCTCCAATACTTTGTGATGTTACGTTGCCATGTCCTTAACTTCTGATAGTGATGTGCTGGTGAAAGCTAAAAGATGTAAAGTAAAATGAGTCAAATATACTTTAAGTGCTGCATGAAACTGATCTAGCCATGTGATCTGTAAGCTCTTTGAATCACTAAGGAATGTTTTTTTTATTGATTGATTTTTTATTATTTTCAAATTTTCAAGTACACTTCAGGTGTTTTACTATTTTGGATACACTGTCCTCAGGCTCCAGCTTTGTTTTATATTGATTGTATTAAAACAAAGGAAACAATCTGAAGTTGCTTTTAATTTACCGGTCCAGCCTACTTGGGACTAGATGTCCCTCAATGTGGCCCCTGAGCTAAAATGAGTTTGACACCCCTGGTTTAGATCGTATCTCCACAACAGGACATTCTGTGTTAAACTGGGTGATGTTTTTTCTTCTTGGGAGGGGCTCCGCTGGGGGGTCCCGCAGGGGTTGATCCTTGGTCCTCTTTTGTTTGCCATTTATCTGCTACCTCTGGGTCAATCTTTCGTAAACATGGCCTATCATTCCATCTCTATGCTGACGATTGCCAGATTTACTCTCCATTGTGTCAGGAAAAAGGTCACTCTATCCAGTCCTTTGTCTCCTGTGTTAATGAGGTGAAGTCTTGGCTAATGGCCAACTATCTACATCTGAATGAGGGAAAGACAGAGCTCATTGTTTTTCACCCCAACAGCAGGAATGTGGATCGTTATGTTGATCTTGGCCCTCTTTCTCCATACTCAAAACCAGTTGTTACCAGTTTGGGGGTGAAACTTGATGCAGGACTTAAATTTGATGCTCACATCAATTCGGTGATCCGGTCCAGTTTCTTTCACTTGAGATGCCTTGCAAAAATCAAGCATATGCTGTCGAGAGCCCACCTGGAGCGGGTACTGCATGCCTTTATAATTTCTAGGCTTGACTACTGCAACTCTCTCTATGCAGGGTTGTGTCAGTCATCCCTGCGTCGCCTACAGGTTGTGCAGAACAGTGCCGCCAGGTTCCTGACTGGGACCAGGAAACGGGACCACATCAGTCCGGTTCTGGCCTCCCTGCACTGGCTTCCGATTTGCTATCGCTCACAATTCAAAATCCTCGTCTTTGTTTATCATTTCTTCCAGGGTGGTTCTCCCCCCTATCTGGCCACTCTCCTGAACAAACATTCCCCATCACGCGCTCTGCGCTCCTCTGACCAAGGCCTGCTCGCTGTCCCTCGTTGTAGGTGTCGTACCCGTGGGGACCGGGCTTTCTCAGTCCTAGCACCGTTACTCTGGAACCAGTTGCCACCCTCAGTTAGGCTGTCCCCATCTCTGCCAGTCTTTAAGAGTCGCCTAAAAACCCACCTCCTCCGCTTGGCGTTTCCAGAACATGTTTGATTTTTGGCCCTCTTTTATGTTGAATTTATTTCACAGTTTTCATTGGTTCACTCAAACCATCCACTCAATCCAAATGTGTTTCACACATTTGTCCTGTACCAGAATGTTTCATCTATCTTGTAATTTGTATTTTATAATTTGTATTTTGTAATTTGAATTGCTTTTATTGTTGATTTATTCAATATGTTTACCTATAACTGTACCATGTTCAGCGCTTTGGGCTTCCTGACAGGGTTGCGGAAGGCGCTTTATAAACAAAGCTTTGATTGATTGATTGATTGACAACCTCCTGAAATTCTCTGCTAACACAGAGGAGATTCTCAGGAAGTGCCACCAACGGTTATATCTCCTTAGGAAACTCAACTCCTTTGGAGTCAGCTCCTCAGTCATGATGACTTTTTACTGTGCCTTCCTGGAAAGCATCATGACCTTCTCCATCACTTGCTGGTTCTACTCTCTTAGCCTCCAGAACAGGAACAGACTGCAGCACACTACATCAGTGTGTTCCAAAATCGTGGGCCTGCCTGTTAGAACTCTTGCTCAGGTTTTCTATCAACAAGCCCTGAGACAGGCAGCCAAAATCCTCTACAACCCCTCTCACATTCTCCACCCCGCATTTCAATGGCTCCCCTCTGGGCGACGCCTACGCTGCAGTTCCTGCAAGACTGAGAGGAGGAGCCACCTTTGTCCCCAAAGCCATTCTGCTCTTTAACTCCAGCAGATAAGACCATCCCCTGATAAACCCTCTCCTTGGGCTCTCCATATATTTAACTTTTATACAGACGACACTTTAGTCACTTTATTCACTTACTCAGTGATTTTTGCATATTTTACTGTTTTATCCATCTTCTTGCTGCTTTATTACTTCCTTATTGCCTATTTATTCAATGTTCCTGGCCTGAATTTGTGCACAAAAATGCAACAAAAAAAAAGTGATGCTTACTCAGATTCAGAAAAAGAAACAAGTTCAGAGAGCTCTGAGGATGAGGATGTTTGATTCAGAGGGAAGAGATACAGTGGGAAAAAAATAAATCAATGTTGCACTTTCTATATGTTCTTGTGTGTATTGCAGTATGTGTGCGTTTTTCACAACAACAGTGTTAATAAAATGACAAAATCTTCATTCAGTGGCATTCATAATCTCTTTTTTGACTGCAGAAAAAAATGGCTAGTGGAAATCCAAGGTGATGATCATAAAGGTTAATTTTGAACCCTGGTTTTTACAATGAAAGAAAGTTTATATTTTGGATTTGTACTTCGTTCTCACTTGGTGTCGTTCTTATCCTGACCAGCAGGTGGCGGTAACACGTTCATCGTTCTCCAAGCGCCAACCAAAACCAAGACGAAGAAGAAGTAAAGGACTGTTGGCAAACTTAGCTTGTTGTATGAGGTGAATATTGAGTCTCCGGCTTAAACATGTATTCAGGAGAGTCTCTGATGGACTTTGTCAACAAGCAAGTAGCTACTGCTAGAAAACTCATCACGAAGGTTGAAGAAGCCTTGGCCCAGTTCGAGGAAGGGCTCGGTGATCAGCGCAGACTGTCGGATGTGAGCTGGGAACCACAGAGCCGCTCACACGGAGCAGGTAAGAAACACCAGCGGGACTCGTGCAGAGACTGACTGGGACAATAATTATGCCCGGGGCCCTGTCCTGTTATTATTATTTAAGGTGTGTAGAAAGCTGCTTTCTTGTGTAGATCATCTCCAGCAAGCGGACCTCAGTTTTCTGACTGCCTTTTAGCCAGCCGTCTTTCGATTTTTACGGGCGCAACTACAAGAGAAATTACGGTGTCCTCGTTATAGAGTGCCTTTCAAAATAAAAGCGCTCAAAACACATTTCAAAGTTTGTGTAAAATTGTGTCTACGATAAAACTGCGTTTTATGATTTTATCTATTTAAAAATACTTTTAATCAAAATAATGAACACGATATAAACGTGTTTGTGTAAAATTGTGTGCAAGATAAAACCGTGTTTTTTTATGATTTTATCCATTTAAAAATACTTTAAATTAAAAGAATAAACACATTTGTCTACTTTGCAATTCTTATCCCTCCCCTCCCTTTCATCCTGATCTGATGTGGGATTTCAAAAGAAAGTGAAAATTATTGACAATTATCACTAAATTCAATGGTTTCTTTCTCAAAAACTGTCTGATTTCACAACATCATTCCACATCAGTCTTAAAGTACACACCGACTGCTGAATCCTCCCCAACTTTCATATGGATCTGATGTGGCATTTCAAAATAAAGTGCAATCAAATATGACTTTAGAGACAATTTTCACTATATTCAATGGTTAATTCCTCAAAAACTGTCTGATTCCACAACATCATTCCTAGTGTTGTGTTGTTTATCAGTCTTAGAGTACACATCGAGGACTACATTCTCTGCAAATTTTTATTAAGACCTGATGATACATCAGAAATTTTGTGAGGATGTAGTCGTCTATGTGTACTTTAAGGCAGATGTGGAATGATGTTGCAGAATGAAACAGTTTTTGAGAAATTACCATGGAATTAGTAAAAATAGTCATTAATGACTTTTGATTGCACTTTATTTTGTAATGCCACATCAATCAATCAAAGCTTTATTTATAAAGCGCCTGTCGGGAAGCCCAAGGCGCTGAACATGGTACATGAGAAATGTGAAACATGATGAATAAATTGAAAATAAAAGCACAGGGTTTCCCTTACATAGGCGTAGCCGTGGCGGGCCGCCACGGCTGAAATCCCACCGCCACGCCTACAAGATCCCAAGTTTTATTTATTTATTTATTTTGCGCTGTTTCCCAAAGAAGCAGCGGGAACTACTATGTTGTCGCTTGTGATCAGGAGCAGGCAGGGCAAGGTGAAGTTACAGCATAAGTTACAAAGTTTAAAATTAGAAAGGTAGCAGTGGATATAATGCTTTGTGGTTTACATGATTCAATAGCATTAAGATAAACGAGTGTTGATGATCTTGACAGGGTTTCCTCCAGTGCTTACTAGGCCAGGTTCTCCTCCCCCCACCAGGCTAAGCATCACTTATTCATGTAAAATTTATTTATTTTTTCATGTCTGACTTTAACCGCATCTAATACTGTATTACGGCGTGAGCGCAACGGCGACAACTGAAGATCGATTTGTGAGCAGAGTGAGAGGTCGGGTGTTTTCATCTGAACCCTTAAAACCTCCAGCAGCTACGTTGCACTATTGACGTGTTAGCGCGCGGCGCTAACAACTTAGCGACGTGACATGTCTCGGAGAAAGCGTAAAAACACGTTGGACGCTTCTTCTGAAGCGGGAAAATAACACCTCTTCTTAAGCAGAGCACGACGCCGCCTCGGCCCGTTCACGGCCGAGCCGGACTGAGCTCGATAACATTGACCCAGCACAGCCACTGGGTCGTTGGAGCTGTCCCGTGACTGCCTGATGGAAAACCAGCGGGTTTCATCAGACTCGTAAAGTTTCTTGTTTTTGGTGGGGACCCCTGTATTTTACCGCTGCCTCCTGCAGTCTTCCCCTATTAAAATTTAAAATGATTCTGTAAATTCCGTGTATCAATAGAAAAAATCTCTGCCTCTGCCAGCTGCAGTAAATGTAGTCTTTTTGAAGCGACTCATGCTTTGTTTTTATTAAACGCTACATAAAAATCCTTTCTTGTCATTTGTGTGCTTCTGTGAAGTCTTTGGATGGACGAGTTCAGTTAACCAGATTCAAGACAGGACAGAGACAAGTAGAGCCACTGGGCCAGCCTGAAAGACTGACAACACCCAGGCACATTCCATTGTCCCTCATCTGTGGCTGGCTGCATTTACAAATGAAAGGCAGCTAACGATCAGTGATTTAGTCATTGTTATCAAACCAAGCAGTTATTTGACAAAGCTCTGGTAGAGCTGGGGGAATCAGAAAATGCTGGGAGTTCTAGTGTTAACACAGAATGTTCTGTTGTGGAGATATGATCTAAACCACTCCAGAACAGACCCTTTGATCCCAACCCATCGTTCCAAGCGATCAAGTAGAATTGCCTGGTCAACTGTGTCAAACGCTGCCGTCAGATCTAACAACAGAACCACCACAGATGTACCCTGATCTAGTGATAGATAGATATCATTTAAGACCCTCAGTAGAGCCGACTCAGTACTATGGCCAGACCTGAACCCTGATTGGGAAATCTCAAACAGATCAGAGTCTGCTAAATGTGAAACCAGCTGCTGATAAATGACTTTCTCAAGCAGTTTCAATGTAAAAGGCAGGGTAGAGATAGGCCTGTAATTTTCGATCACAGAGACATCAGCACCAGGTTTCTTCAGGGTCGGCCGAACAACTGCTGCTTTGAAAGCAGCTGGGACCACACCTGTGCTGAGGCTCCCATTGGTAATCTGACCAAGTGATGGGCCAAGACACGGAAAGGCAGCCTTCCAGAGACGAGGCGGCAGGACCTCAAGTGGAGAGCCAGATGGCTTCTGCCTTGCAACAAGCTTACTCAGCTCAGAATAAGAAACGGTCTTGAGGGAGCTCAGGGTGGGTGGTGATGGAGGAACTGGAACAGGGTCAATAGAGTTACCAGAAATAGCTGCTCTAATGCCTGATACTTTATGAACAAATAATTTGTGAAAATCTTCAGAGTTTCCAGCAACTGTAGTGGACAGGAAGCTGGGCTCCTGATACACCAGAACAGAGTTCAGTGTTTTGTAGAGAATCTTAGGATTCTTAGAGTTTGTTTTGATGATGTCTGCAAAATAGGCAGTTCTAGCAACCCTCACTGCATCCATATAAGCAACCAGGTCCAGGGTGTGACCCCTGGCATGAGTTGGGGACGATAACCATTGAGTTAAATTGAATGAATCTAGAAAATTCAAAAAACCTTTAGCAAGCACATTGTCAGGACAGCAGATGTTAAAATCACCAAAAACAGGACATAGTCATGTTTTAGGATACAGTCTGCCACAAGATCATATAAATCATTTAGGAAGTTAGAGTCAGTCTTTGGAGGGCGATCAATCAGCACGGAGAGCAGGCGGGGGCAGATGCACAGTTCAAATAGACACAGTTCAAAGGAAGAAAATGACATGGCGGGTGTAAGCTGTTTACAAGGAAAGCTGGATTTTAAAACAACAACCAGCTCACCACCTCTGCCCCGCGATCTAGGGATATTAAAACAGGAGCAGCCAGGTGGTACCAGCTCCAGCAGGGCGCTTGAGTCACCAAACGGGATCCAGGACTCACAGATGCACAGAAAACTCAAATCATGTTTAATAAAAAAAATCCCGAAGAACAAAAGTTTTGTTCAGCACAGACCTGGTATTGACCAGACCAAACCAGGTCTGCGGCGGGGCCGCAGCACCGGGATCGCGCACGGACACCGTCTCCTCCAACTCTGAGCCCGTAACCAAGCGTAGATTCTCCCAGCAAACCCCACTCTGGCGAGGTCCTCGAGCCGATTGGCCATGGCGCGGTGCCAGCTCACCCTCATAGCCAGCCAAGTTCACAAGGCAGGGCGCAGAGTAAACCATCAGACGTCTCGGAACCACCGGGTCACAAGCTGGGCCGAATCGGACCAGCCGCTTCTTCAGGGATCCAGGAAGTCCAGCCCGACGTCTCACGCGCCGGCTACCTTGCTGTCCCCGTCTTCTACGATGCTTCCTTCTCAAGCTGGGGCAGACAGAGGGCCAACACATCACGGCTTGGGGGGAGAGAGCACAGGGGCAGTCCAAACAACAATGCTATCCGTGAGGTTCCCTCACGCAGCGACCGCTACATCAACAGGAGTACAAAGCCTCAGCAGCGCAGCTTGATCAAAAGTCACCAGAGAAGCCACACCATTCAAAAAAAGAATCAGAGACAACAAAAAAACATAAAAACCAATAAAACGCAAGTTTCCATTGCGTAAAGAGGACGAGCAGCTCGCTGCGTGCGCCCGCGCGAGCGCCGTCTGAACTCAACATCAGATCTTTATGAAATTTGGGAAGGATGTATTACTCGATGTGTACTCTAAGACTGAAGTGGATTGATGTTACGGAATTGGACAGTTTTTGTGAAATTAACCATTAAATAGGGTTGTCATGGTACCCGCTATAGCGGTAAACCCCGGTAAAAAAGTTTACAATAAAAATAACCGTCCAGTTTTTAAAAAACTATATTATCTCGGTGGGTTTACCGTGGCCGCGGTTTCGGCGCGATGACCCTTACCAGCCACCGTCGCTTCAGCTGAAGTTCCCGCGGCGCGCACACGCACTTTTTAATTTGCAACGGCACCAAAACTTTGAAGCTGAAATAATGGCCGAAGGAGGCGACGGCAGCGCCCAGGACATCCATCAGCCCTCAAAGAAGACTAAATCGGAAGTATGGGCATATTTGGGATTTCTGAAAAATGCTGAGGGACAGTTAATAGAAGACGGCTATCCCGTTTGCAGAACGAGCAGGAAACAAGTGTCTGCAAAAGGCAGCAACACTTCGAATCTAATGGCACATCTGCGTGACGATCACCCATGTCTCTACAGCCAGTGCAAGGTAAGTTAACATTAGCATTTTAGCTTAAATGCATGACGTGAGGACTTTTGGTTGAGGGAGAATGCAACGAGTCACTATATACTGCAGCTGCA